CAAGACATATTTTAACTGTGTACGAGAGACAGCCCCCCCCCATTCAGGTGCTGAGTCTGCGGTGGTGGTTTGGTGTCCCAGGTGGTGGTGTCCCTCTTTCATGTTTTTGCGTGTTTGAGTTTGCTTCACTTTTAGTTTCACGTGTGGTGCTCCTTGGGTCCCCTTTTCTTTGGACAGTCCATCATCTTAAGTCTCAGCCCTGATTGGTTCCCCCGTTGCTCGTCCCAGACTGAGTAAGGGTTTTACAGTTTTTAAACCGTAAATTGAATTTAATAAAATTACCTTTTTGTATTGTAAATTGCGTCTGTCTCACGTGTGACGAGCTGGAGTGCCTCCCCTTAGTTTTGTTGGGTTGAAGATTTAAAACAATTTCCTGGGTGAAATTCCTAGGGTGGCGTTGTTTGGCAACATTACAATTTTTAAACTGCCCTCACCCATACATCACGCCTCGTGTCGCTACATGTATAATACGTTAAATTCATCCGACAGCAATGATTCAAATTCACATTATCTCATCATATGTGTTCATGATCATTTCCTGCTCATCGGTGGAGAAATACGCTTTAAGTTTATTTCCTGTTAGAATAAAAAATCCTGGTTTTCTGTGATCGACTCTGTGATGTTCATGACGTAACCACGTCATCTGCAGAGATAGACGCGCAAGACACGTGAGCAGGAAGTACGAAAACGGTAACGTGTAAACCAGAGCCGGAGAATAAACGCCCGTGGATATGAATCAAACTGTGTTAGGTCTGGTGTATAAACCCACACAACGCAAACACTACAGACTCACTAACACTAACCCTAACACTAACCCTAACCCACGTAACAACATTATCCTGATTGACATCTGGTTCAAACGAACGAGACGGTTTGAACGCCGATCCGCCTTCGAGGAACCGAGAGCCTGATTTCAATCATCTTTGTAATTTGAGCTGGATAATCGGACATTTGATCGACTTAGTTGAACCACGTACAAGGAACAGGGTCCAGCTCAGGCACAGACATCCCTGGTACGCAGCAACGAGCGTGGTCACTGGCCCTTAATCCCAAAGCCATCAAAACTCATGTAGTCGGTTGCAGAATGAAGGGTCAATCTGGTTCCCTTTATCATTTATTAACATATTAGAAAAAAAAGATAATTTCAGCTAAAAAACTCTTCTGTGTCATTAAAAGTTAACGAGAACCTGAAACCATTAATGCATTAGCCACTTTTCTTATTTTCGACATAAGTAGTATGAGAATAATACGGGTATTCTACACAAAGATTAATAAGCATTAGAGGGGCAGGATTTGGACTCAGTTTTCTAATGGAAGGACCTCTGAGTGTGTGTGTCAGCGTCCACATCCTGTCCAGTGGAGCAAGCCAAGGCCTTAATATTCCTGCCCTTCCTCTTCCTCTGGATGCATGAGGCCTTCCATCCATCCATCCATCCATCTTCAACCGCTTATCCGGGGTCGGGTCGCGGGGGCAACAGCTCCAGCAGGGGACCCCAAACTTCCCTTTCCCGGGCCACATCTACCAGCTCTGACTGGGGGATCCCAAGGCGTTCCCAGGCCAGTGCAGAGATATAATCTCTCCACCTAGTCCTGGGTCTTCCCCGGGGCCTCTTCCCAGCTGGCCGTGCCTGAAACACCTCCCTAGGGAGGCGCCCAGGGGGCATCCTCACCAGATGCCCAAACCACCTCAACTGGCTCCTTTCGACGCAAAGGAGCAGCGGCTCTACTCCGAGCTCCTCGCGAATGGCTGAGCTTCTCACCCTATCCCTAAGGGAGACGCCAGCCACTCTCCTGAGGAAACCCATTTCGGCCGCTTGTACCCGTGACCTAGTTCTTTCGGTCATGACCCATCCTTCATGACCATAGGTGAGGGTAGGAACGAAGATTGACCGGTAGATCGAGAGCTTTGCCTTTCGGCTCAGCTCTCTTTTCGTCACAACGGTGCGGTAAAGCGAGTGCAATACCGCCCCCGCTGCTCCGATTCTCCGGCCAAACTCACACTCCATCTTCCCCTCACTCGTGAACAAGACCCCGAGGTACTTGAACTCCTTCACTTGGGGTAAGGACACATTCCCTACCTGGAGTAGGCAATCCATCGGTTTCCTGCTGAGAACCATGGCCTCAGATTTAGAGCTGCTAATCCTCATCCCGACCGCTTCACACTCGACTGCGAAACGCTCCAGTGAGAGTTGGAGGTCACAGACGGAAGATGCCATCAGGACCACATCATCTGCAAAAAGCAGCGATGAGATCCGCAGCCCCCCGAACTGTAGACCCTCCTCCCCCCGACTACGCCTCGATATCCTGTCCATGAAGACCACAAACAAGATTGGTGACAAGGCGCAGCCCTGGCGAAGGCCAACCCCCACCGGAAACGCCTTCGACTTACTGCCGAGCACCCGAACACAGCTCTCGCTTTGGGCGTACAAGGATTGGATGGCCCCAAGCAAGGACCCCCTTACCCCGTACTCCCGCAGCACCTCCCACAGTATCTCTCGGGGGACCCGGTCATACGCCTTCTCCAAGTCCACAAAACACATGTAGACTGGTTGAGCATACTCCCAAGCCCCCTCTATGATCCTGGAAAGAGTGAAGAGCTGGTCCGTTGTTCCACGACCAGGACGAAAACCGCATTGTTCCTCTTCAATCCTTGGTTCGACTATCGGCCGAACCCTCCTTTCCAGCACCTTAGAGTAGACTTTACCCGGGAGGCTGAGTAGTGTGATACCCCTGTAATTGGCACACACTCTCTGGTCCCCCTTTTTGAAGAGGGGTACCACCACCCCAATCTGCCACTCTTTTGGCACTGTCCCAGACTTCCACGCAATGTTGAAGAGGCGTGTCATCCAAGACAACCCCCCAACACCCATTGCTTTTAGCATCTCTGGACGGATCTCATCAATCCCCGGGGCTTTGCCACTGCGGAGTTGTTTGACTACCTCAGTGACTTCCACCAGGCTAATTGACGATGATCCCTCCTCCGCCTCCAGCTCCGCCTCCACCAAAGAGGGCGTAGTAGTTGGGTTCAGGAGTTCCTCAAAGTGTTCCTTCCACCGCCCGATAACCTCCTCAGTCGCGGTCAACAGGGTCCCATCCTTACTGTACACAGCTTGGATGGTTCCCCGTTTCCCCCTCCTGAGGTGCCGGATGGTCTTCCAAAAACACTTTGGTGCCGACCGAAAGTCCTTCTCCATAGTTACCCCGAACTCCTCCCATACTCGCTGCTTTGCCTCCATCACGGCAGAGGCTGCTGCCCTTCGAGCCTGTCGGTACACTGCAACTGCCTCTGGAGTCCCACCGGATATCATAACCCGGAAGGCCTCCTTCTTCAGTCGGACGGCTTCCCTGACCACCGGTGTCCACCACGGAGTTCGAGGGTTACCGCCCCTAGATGCACCTAAGACCTTGAGGCCACAACTCACCGCCGCGGCTTCAGCAATGGAGGTTTTGAACATAGACCACTCTGGTTCAATGTCCCCTACCTCCACAGGAATGTGAGAGAAGCTCCGCCGGAGGTGTGAGTTGAAAATCTTTTGGACCGGGGCCTCCTCCAGACGTTCCCAGTTCACCCTCACTACACGCTTGGGTTTACCGGGTCTGTCCCGAGTCTTCCCCCATCCTCTGATCCAGCTCACAACCAGATGGTGATCAGTTGACAGCTCTGCCCCTCTCTTTACCCGAGTGTCCAGAACATGCGGCCTCAGATCAGACGATACGATTACAAAATCGATCATTGATCTTTGGCCTAGGGTGCTCTGGTACCACGTACACTTATGAACATCCTTATGTTCGAACATGGTGTTTGTTATGGACAATCCGTGACTAGCACAGAAGTCCAGTAACAAACACCCGCTCGGGTTCAGATCAGGGAGGCCATTCCTCCCAATCACGCCTCTCCAGTTATCTCCATCGTCGCCCACGTGCGCATTGAAGTCTCCCAGTAGGACTATGGAGTCCCCTACAGGAGCCCCATGCAGGACTCCATTCAGGGTCTCCAAAAAGGCCGAATACTCTGAGCTGCTGTTTGGTGCATATGCACAGACAACAGTCAGAGTTTTCCCCCCCACCACCCGAAGGCGTAGGGAGGCGACCCTTTTGTCCACTGGGGTAAACTCCAATGTAGCAGCACTCAGCCGGGGACTTATGAGTATCCCCACACCCGCCTGGCGCCTCACACCATGGGCCACTCCGGAGTAGAATAGAGTCCACCCCCTATCCAGGAGTTTGGTTCCAGAGCCGAGGCTGTGCGTAGAGGTAAGCCCCACCAGATCCAACTGATAACGCTCCACCTCCCGCACAAGCTCCGGCTCCTTCCCCCCCAGAGAGGTTACGTTCCACGTCCCCAGAGCCAGCATCTGCCGCCCAGGTCTGTTCCGTCTAGACCCCCCACTGTCACTGCCACCCTTGTAGCAGCGCACCCGACCCCATCGGTTTCCTCCACAGGTGGTGAGCCCATGGGGAGTAGAGTGTTGGGCTGCCGCGTCACTCCTTCGGGCTGTGCCCGGCCGGGCTCCGCGGTAAACCCGGCCACCAGACGCTCGCTGTCGGGCCCTCCATCTGGGCCTGGCTCCAAATGGGGGCCCTGGGCTTCCTCCGGGCCGGGTAACTCCTTCCCTCTTCCGTTTTTTCATGGGGGTCTTGAACCATTCTTAGTCTGGCCCCTCGCCTGAGACCACTTTGCCAAGGGTAACCCTACCAGGAGCACAAGGCTCCCGACAACACAGCCCTCAGGTTCATAGGGACACACAAACCTCTCCACCACGATAAGGTGACGGTTCCCAGAGAGGTGCATGAGGCCTGTCAAACCTAAATATATTGTTCATTTTATCTAAATAATAAAGACTGTTGAACCTCTTCTGCTCAGTGTTCTGCTCTCCAGCAGCTGGTCCTGCACCGCAACCAACATGACAATATTGTGTAATACTGTATTACATTATAAGACAATATAGGGAACGGTAAGTACTAGAAGGAATACAACAAAACTAGAGACTAGAAACAAATGTAATTATTTGTTATTTATTGTGGGTTTACGTAAACAGCAGTATAGCATGCATGTGTAAATACACATTAAAAACATTCAAACTTGTATTAGTCTGATTATCCAATCAAATTTAGCCCCGTCTAGACTTAACTATTTGTTTTGATCTTCTATTTACCAGATCGATGATTACTCGATCAATGTTTTGACTCTGTTCCATGCTTGCAAGCATTTAATAAATGTCTTGTTAAATGATTTCACACCGGTGTTGAGTAAAAGTTTCTTATGTAACTTAAATTATGTACCTGGTTTCATGTTAAGAACATGCCCCTGCACAAATGCGTAATAGAAAGTATTCAAAGCAATGTTGTCATGCTAAGGTTCACCTTGTTGGGGGAGAATTGGTTGAGCTGGAAATTGTGATTGTCTCAGGAACCTTTCCTTACTTGGAAAACTATGATTGACTGGGCCCGTTTAAGGGAGGGGTCACGGGCGTCTCCCAGCGACATCTGTTTACAACAAATCTTCCTTTTGTAGGGGGGGTCTTCTGTTTTCCTAGACACAAACCTCTCCGGTGTATAAAAGCTCCTGTTCTCCCCCAGAAACTTGGTCAGATCTTCTAGCTCCTCTGTGGGAGAAAGAACAATCTGCCCCTTTTCATGTGAATTGTAGTCCTTTGACCGCGGTCTTTACTGTTTGTGTTGATGATTTCTGTATTCTTTATCATGTTTCTATATTCTAGTTATTCTAGTTAAGATACTTTTGATTTCTCACAAGGGCTTAATCCACAAATTTCCACCACACGTCTCAGCAGTTTGAAGGTCTACAGCTTGTCGACAAAGTCTTCTCCAAAGTAAATCATCTGTTTCACTGCAGTCAGGATCAGCGCATTCATGTCATCATTGGTGTCGATTTCCTCGTGGTAGTTCCTCACGAGAAAGATGCAGTTTGGAGAAATGCCGAGCAACACACTGAATTTGTCAACCTAAGACGGGATACCAGGATATTACTCTATATATACTCTAACAACAAATACAAAGTCAACAATAGAAACGTACCAGTTCCTTCAAGTATATGCTGCCATATACTTTGTCCATATTTGTGTTCACTTCAGGACACGCTTCATCAATTTTAGTCAGAATAGCCAGTTGAGGAATTCCTGTAAAGACAGAAACATAATTTGTTCTACTTTGCTGGTGTTTTGATTCATGAAACAGACTTGATTCCATTGAGATCTCTGCTCTTACCCATATCACTGGCTGCTAGTCTGACTTCTCTCATCTTCTTCACAACTCCATCACTTAATATAGACACTGAACCAGCAGGAATGACAGACACCAGGACGTGAACTTTGTCATTCAGAGTGGGAGATGAGTTGTAGTATTTGTCATTCTCCTGAATCTCGAGGTCCGACTTGAACTTGTAAAACAATTAAAAAAAGAAACTACTATTAACTATCAAATAGAACAGCTAAACAATAGGATTTGGAATAAAAAGTAACGCAAAAAGTGTCACAAAAAGAAAAGTTGATAACTTCAGCGTTTTACCTGATAACCTTTTGACACGTGTCCGTTTAGGGCCAGTTTCACATCTTCCACTTTCACTCCCATGTCGGTCTTTTCCTCAAGGCCCATTATGTCATTGAAAATGAAAGAGAAATAGCTTCCATCGTCTTTTTTTATTTCATAAGTCTCGTACTGTAAAGAAGGTGGAATTATTTGCATTATTACTTCTTCCAAGAAACAAGAGGTGAGGCATTCAAGTGATTTCTCAGCTTCCATTATCAGCACGGTAACAAAGAAATTAGTACTTTGAGCAACATTTAAACAGTCATGGGTTCACAAGGCTGGGCTTTAGGGGAAAATATGTGTATTCCTCTATTTCAATCTCTGTATAGTAATGTATTTCTATTTATGCAAATATGCACACATGTTAAATTAATTTTGTGTTGTTTTCACGGATAAGTTATTAATCACTTTTAAAGCTCTTAGGGAGGTTGACATGAACATCATCAGCTCTAAACCCTTTTGTTCTGGCTGAATGATGCCTGCATTGGCCTACAAAGCTCAATAGATCAATTGCGGTATGAATTTGTTTTAACTGTTCTTTAGAGTCCACAAACAATTTACACAATTTTCATACTTTCCGTGTAAAGCTGCTTCCAGAGGTTGCATCCGTTTGAGCTGAAATAGCAACTCTGTCTCTTAAAGCACTTTGAACAGAGTTGATGAAGCTGGACTTTCCAGCCCCGACTGGTCCGTGAAGCAAAATTCTCAGATTTTTGACATCTGGGTGTCCAGGTTTGTAAGAATTCAGAAATGTATAATTCTTCAGGTAGCCTCTTTTCAACAAAGAAACAAATAATTAGAACACTAATACTTCATTTATTCCCATTATTAAATGTACAACATGTGAATCATACTCACGTTTTTACATCCCTCCATGGCTGACCAAAATGTACTAAAGAGAAAGTTACATATGTTAACGGGCATTTTCTTTTTCTTTAATGTTGGAATAATTTAAATTTTGAAGCAATTTTGCAATAGATTTTATTTACAACTTTCGATCTACTCTTTCTACTTTTGATGAGTAGACAAGCAAAGTATTCTTTTGAGTAAACAATGTTCTGTAATGTTGTAAGTATCTCACTTTTAGGAGGATCAGCAGGTGTTGACTCTCCTCCACCCATGGCTGAAAAAGGACAGTGAGACAACATTTAAACAAGAAGCATTGTTACACATAATTTATTATAAAAAAGCGTAAATTCAGACATGTTGCAACTCATCACTTTTAAAACTGACTCAGGTGCTGTACAAGCAAATCCTGTAATGTATTCTTAATGAATATGTGTTGTTGTAATTGTCTCTGATTGTTTAATTGTGGTTTAATCTCTCAATTATATTAGTTAAATTTTTATTTGATTTGTAATATTCAAAGAATCACCTGAACTGTTGTGCCTCTAAAAGAAAAAGGAGATGGTTCAATTAGAATTATTATAACTTTGACACACTTTTACCTGTTGGCATAATAAAAAATGAAGCACTTTTGCAATGGATTGAACATTTAGGAGCTGAAATGATGACAAGTCAAGATTCACTGTTTCCTGTAAAAGGAGACCTTAACATGCAAGTTCAGACATGTTCGACAATTGCTAGGTTTAAATTTGATCTGAATTGATTCAAAGAATCGTACAGTAAATGTTTTGCCTGTTAAAAGAAAAAGAGATGGTTCAATGAATTATTATAACTTTGACATATTTTTATATGTTGCCATAATAACAAATTTGAAGCACTTTTGCAATGGATTGAACATCTAGGAGCTGAAATTATGACAGGTCAGAAAGTTGTATTTCTGTGACTGACACGGCTCGTTAGTTTCCCTTAATAATTCAGGATGTGCCACTTTATTTAGTTCATCAGCAGCCAAACCATAGCAGTGGTGCCACGCAGCTGGTACAATGATGCTGACTGCCTTAAGCCTCGTTACAAGAGGGACAATAGAGTGGACGGGGCTGTCCACAATGCAGATGAACCGGGCCCTGACTGGAAGACATATGAAAGCAGAGTCATTACATCATAGGATATGCTAATATTCTTTCGGCAGTTGTATAAGGATATCAAAAATAATTTAAAAAATGTAATTTGCCTTTTTAATTATACAGGGAAAAACATTAGAATCTTTTTATTTATTTTATTTGTTCTGTTTCTGGCTGTATCGTTCCTCGCTGTGTTTGGGTGCCTCTATGCTTCGTGTTGCAGGACTGCAGCGTCGGGTGGATGCTATCATGACTAAGCACTTATTGTAAATCGCTTTGGATAAAAGCTTTAGCTAAATGATGTGTAATGTAATAAAAACAATTTGAACCAACAGAATTCTTAACAGTATGATGAGAATTGGGGAAACTGCAGCATGTTGGGGGATTGTCTTGATCCCCTGACCGATTATATCGAGTCTTATTTAAATAAAAATCTGACACTGGATAATGAAAGAATGATTATCTAGTCAGAATTTGCGATAAGTGATAAAATGATGAATAAAATGATTATTTGTAATCTTTTAATCTTGTGGTGCCAGAGATGATCGTCTACATCTGAGGTTGACTACCAGCACTTGGATTTTGGCCAGAGCCTCACCCTGTTTTAGCATGTTTATCTTCCAGCTATATATTCCTGCTCCGAAGGTAAAAACCTTTGAGTAGGATGGAGCATAACCTGTACGTGTGTCAACTCTTTCTCCTGTTTGCAAACATTAAATATCCTATATTCTCACTATCCGAATGAGAATTTTCATTTACTTCTTTCAATCCCTAGATGTACAGGTAGTTTACATCTTTCAGTAGAATATTTAATAACACCATGAGAATAATGATAATACACACAAAATAGTTGGTAGACGTCATAGAAATCCCTTACCTTTGTGTCTGTGGCTCTGCAGAGTGCCGTAGTGACGGAAAGAAGATGCTTCTTATATACTGTACGCTTTGTTTCACTTTCAGATACAGATCATGTGACTCAGGAGAAGGATAAGATTGGAATAATGTCTCATTTAATCTTGATTTCTGTAATAAACGGTAGCGTATATGGTGACCAAACCGATGGATTACTCTGCTTGCTGGTTGCTACGTCTAATTGTGCACAAACTACATGGAATATAAGTTTAGATTGTAGAGTGATTAAGTTGTTGTAGGACAACTTTCTCAATTATTTTACTTATGAAAGGTAGATTTGAAATTGGTCTGTAGTTGATAATAGAGGCATCTAGGCTCCGCTTTTTTAGGAGAGGTTTAATAACTGCAGTTTTGAAAGCTTTTGGGAAATGGGCTGTCTGAATAGAGTTATTAACTATTTGCAATACGTCTGTTGCTCTGCAGTCAAAAACATTCTCAAAGAAGTTGGTAGGTAGAGCATCAAGACGGCAGGTGGATGGTTTTAAATTTGTCACCGTTTCCACTAGAGTTTGAGAGTCTATGGCATTAAAGCTTGTCATCATTGCTGTGTTACTTTTGCCTAAATAGGGTGGTGATCCAACATTTTTGTTTGAGATATTAATGGCGCGTCTGATGCCTTCAATTTTATCAGTATAAAAGAACGCAAACTCGTTGCATTTCTGTGTGGGGTTGGTCAGTCTGTCAACAGTTTCAAATAGGGTTTTTGCCTTAGTGTTGTTGTTGATGATGTTTGAGAAGAATGTTTCCCTAGCACTTTTAAAGTCTAAATTGTAGGCCCGGAGGCGCTCTTTATAGATGTCATGATGAATGTGAAGTTTTGTATTCCGCCAGATTCGTTCAGCCTTCCTGCACTCTCTTCTCTGGGCTGTTACAACAGCAGCTTTTCTCCAGGTGCCCTTTACTAGAACTGGTTTTGACCGTAACAGGTGCAATGTCATCAATAACATTCAAAATTTGGGAATTAAAGTTGTTTACAAGATTATAAGCATGACATGGGATTAGAGGTGGTAACGAGGATATGACATTTTTAAAGAGTACATTAGTTAGTTCATTGATGTACCGTTTTTTGACAGTATTTGATTTTGATTGTGTGTCAGGAATGAAAGAAATATTAAAGAAAACACAGAAGTGGTCAGACAATGAGGGATCAGTCACAAAAACATCCGAAACAATGAGACCTTTTGTGATAATCAGGTCCAGGGTGTGTCCCTTACAATGAGTAGCCTCTTTCACATGTTGAGACAGTTCAAATGTGTCTATAATAGTCAAAAGTTCTTTTGCACCCTTGTCATTGAAATCGTCAGTATGAAAATTAAAGTCACCAGTTATAACTAGACAGTCAAAGTCGGTAGAGATGCTAGACAATAATTCAGTAAAATCATCGAAACAATGTGCAGAATATTTAGGTGGCCTGTAAATAATTACCAGGAGAACTCTGGGAGAACCTTTCAATACAACACAAAGATATTCAAATGATGGAAAATCACTAAGTGACATCTATTTCCCCTGAAATATATTTCTAAATATAGCAGCAACCCCTCCACCTCTTTTTCCAGATCTACATACATCAATAAAGTTATAGTTGGGGGGTGCTGCCTCAATCAGAATGTTTGCACTGTTATATCTAGCCATGTTTCAGTTAAAAACATAAAATCAAGTTTAGAAGTGGTAATAAAATCATTGACTAAAAACGATTTGTTATTAAGAGACCTAACATTAAGCAGAGCCATCCTGATGGTGTTATTCACAGGCTTCGGGGTTGACTTTGAGCTGGAGAGAATAGGAATGAGATTTGTTAGATTAGCAGTGTGTCTAAGTTTCGCAATGTTCACTCTCTTGTTGGTCACAACAGGAATGCAGAAGGTGCCATGTTTTGACGTAGGCGACCTTGGGTCCAGCTGATAATGCGGTCTACTGCTGAACCCTTTTCTATCTCAGTAATATTCAGGGTTGCTGTCAAGAGGAGGAGGGGGTGGGCCTAAGGGGGGGGAGTGAGCAGCGTCACAGCTGGGATGGATTTGTGGAGGTGGAGCACGTCTTCGTAGAGGTGGGGGGGCAGATCGGCGTAAGATGGCGTCACCGCTGAGATGAGCTGGTGCAGGTGGACGCTAGGGTGGAGGGCGCTGAGGTTGATCTAAGGGAGTAAAAATAGGAGTAGGGCAGGGGGTAACTCTTGGAACTCCAAGGGGGAGGAGGGGGGAGAAAGGTTTACTGAAGGGAGGGAGAAAGAGGGAGACGTGGACCTGGATGGGGGCTCTGGGGGGGTGGGAGAGGGATCCTCACACGTAATGGAAGGAGGGTTAGAGGGCGATGGCAAGGGCGGTCCTCCTTCGCCTTTCTGATAAGCTGTGTTTTCTCTTCCTTCTTTGTGGGCTCCTCTTCTTGTCTCGTGTCCTTGGCAGTGGGGACTGATGGATGACGCATGATGTAAAACATGTTGGTAATGAAAAGCTTTGCTCCCATCTTATTTAGGCAAAGTCCATTTGTCTTAAAAAGATGCCTGCGGTCCCAGAAAAAGCTAAAATTGTTGATACAATGCATTGAACGAACTGCACATGCAGTTAAGAGCCATTTGTTGAGCCAAAACAGTCTGCTGAATCTCTCAGCTCCTCTCCCGGTCGGGGGCAGAGGACCACTGATAAACACCTCAGCATTCACAGAGCTGACTGTTTCTAGGAGATTATCCAAGTGCTCTTTCAACTTTTCTTAGATTTTTCACAGTTGGGTGTTCAGCCACAATTTCCAAAATTCTTTCTTCCAAGTCAGACACCATATCCTCCGGGAAGCAGAGTACTTTGGTGTTGTTACTACTTTTCATATCTTTTACAGAAAAATCACCCACAATCAGATTTTCAGGCCCTGTCGTTAGCTTTCTCTGTGGCTTTAAGTTAGCAGGTCTTACCCTGCTGCGTGGTGGTGGAGGGTTATCCAGAAATTTAGAGGGGGATCCATGGTCCTGCAACAGTGGAGCAAACCTGTTTTGTAGATTTACACCTGTTTGCTGGGGAGGTTTCTTGGTAGTTCCCCTCTTCTCAGTTGTCCGCTGCTTTGTTCTACGAAGCACGGGGGTTGAGGAGGCGTTATGCCTGGATGGTAACGCAGGCCAGTCGGCCAGATCACAGCTATCGGGGCGCTGCGTCCTGCCAGTTATCCATTCTCCCTTGTCTGGTCTTCTCTTTGGCTTTGCACCAAGTGTGGTCCAGGGAGGATTGTCGCTGGTAGATTTATTACCCTGTACAGAGTCCTCCAGTTTCTTCATAGTTCCATCATTGCTAGTTAGCTGGGTTCTAGCATGCTCTTGTCCACTGTTTTGAGTCATTGCTAGAGTGGTGTTGTTCCCACATGGTCCATTTACTTCTACATTTACCTCTAACCGATTAACTTTTGTTTCCAGCCGTAAAATCTTCTGTACGAGTTTGTGGTAATCTTCCGTAGAGAAGGGAGGCAGCTTCTGCTAATTACCTTTAGCACTGTAGCACAGGCTCAGGATTATCTTGTTTGGTAGGCCTCCTCGCATAGCGTTGAGGAAGTCGTAAAAATATTGAAAAATGCCTGTTTTATCTAAAATAAAATATAATCCCACTGGTTTTGTAAGTATCCAGGAGCTCCTGATCTTTGTTTCGTTAAGCGATTGCCGTTGCCAGAAGTGAAAGTGGACAAAATGAGCGGAGCTGCTCCTCGGTGCGACTGGTCTCGGTGCGAGAGAAGAGACTCGTTATAATTTTGTTTAAATGAATAAAGAAATGTGTCAAGGTCAGTTGTGTATTGTGTCCCTCAGCTGAACATGAGTCATATGACAGTGATGACTTTTCCTTTACAACCACCAGCCTCGACAAACTAAGGCCAAAATACGAGCAGACCAACGGGTTCCTTTTATAATCTGGGCCTAATAGGGGAATTACATACGAGACATGTTCTTGGATGAGGGAAGCTTTCCCCACTACACCAAGAAGAACATATTACTTTAACAGCAGACTTCTCCGATGTATCATCCAGCGACGACTCCGTACCGAAACCAAGCAGCAGATCTCACATCTCTGACGACACTGCAGCAAGTTTACATCATTCCGTACATTATTCATACAGTATATATAATAACAATATATACTGGGTTTAATGAGGTCTGTTCTTGACTCTGGATGTGTAGCTTGCATGTCATGAAATGGAATTAAAGAAATATTACTCATAATGTATAGGATGGAAATTAGAGGCAAAGCTACACATTTCATCCGGGTTCCAGGTTACGTTGGTGTGGAGGGGAATGAACAGGTGGTTATTCTGGCCAAAAAAACACTTTCCATACAAGTTCCATTAAGTAAATTAAAAGTAAATTGAGGCTAAGCAATTTTTCAGAAGATATACAAATACAGTTTGGCAGGAGTATTGGGATGATCAGGAAACTGGAATACAAAAACATGTCACGACAAGGAGAAAGGTGTCATCATTTAACTGAGAATTGGGCATAAAGTCTTAACCATACATAAAGCATAAAGTCCTGTTACACACTCCAGTCCAGATGGTGGCGGTGATGAGCTGCTCGCCGTCCTCCTTCAGCAGCTACAGCTCCACTTCGTGCTCCAGGTTCTCCAGGTTCTGAGCCTCTCGAACTCGCGGTAGATGGAGTTGGCCAGGCCCGACACCCGCTCAGTCATCATCGCCGATGTCCCCGGGTCGTCCTGGTACAGCTCCATGTTTAGTCCCTCTCCCTTCCGCGTCACGCCGCCACCGTGGACACGTTATCGGCTTGACTGCGAGCAGCGTCTCATCCGACACGCGTACCGTTGGACATTGAGGACATTACGCGGCTGGGATGCAGGAGAGACGATACGTGGATGTCTCCCCCCTTTTCCATTCACTTGTCTCTTGTTGCCTTCACGGGCTTTTTCATAGCTTTCCAGGTTCACTCGAACGCCAAAATCGCAGTCAGGCGACCGGAAAAGTTGGATTGATTTTGTGGGAATAAAACTCATATTTTGTTGGACTATAGTGGATCAGTGTGGCACCATAATATGTGTTGGTAATATATCGATATGACAGAGAAAATAATGGAGAAAACGTAACCAGAAATTGTTTTCGTCGAAGATTTCCAATCGTTCATGAAGATAGCACCTCAGCTGAGTTGTTCACCAGGTCACGTGATGACGTCATAAAGAAGATATGCCACGAAATAATTATCAGTTTTTCACATTTGGTCATAGATAAAAATAAAGATTAATTTCGTGAGTATCTTTTTAACAATCCGGATCCAAATGACAAACATTTAAATGGAATCTAAACACACCTTGTTTGTATATGTTTCTCAGCAGGCACCTCCAGTTGCACTCGCTCAGTTGGAATCAAGCTGAAATTATTCCTACAATAACTTTACTTACATTTTTATTTAAGCCACAATTGGTCAATTCATGCCCTGGTGCAGTTGTGGGGGTTTAAGAAGTGGTTAAGAAGTGTTACTGCTTTACCACATACAATATTGTGTAATACTTCATTACATTACAAGACAATATAGTGAATGGTAAGTACTGTAAGGAATACAATAAAAGGAGACTAGATACAAATGACAGTATTTATGTTATTTATTGTGGGTTTACCTAAACAGCAGTACTAGCACAATGTGTGAATATAAGGTCAAAAACACTAAAAATAAAACAATAAATAATCAGTAGACAAGTGTTAAAATCAAATTTAGCCCCATCTAGACTTATTTGTTTTGATTTTTTTTAAGATTTATGATTACCTGGGGAGCTGGAACATGGACATTACCACCTAAATCAACAAAGTATGACTATCAAAAATAATAATACAAAAACTAAAGCGTGGTGAGGGTGATACAGCCTAACATACTTATTTTAATTGTTTATTAGAGCTAAGACCATTTAGAGCTTTAGAACTGAAAAAAGTCCCATTTAATATAATCATATTACTACATGGAGACTTTTTTTGAAGCAGTATTTTAGGCCTGCAGCTCGTTGACAAAGTCTTCTCCAAAGTCAATGATCCGTTTCATTGCGCTCAGGATCAGTGAATTGATCTCATCATTTGTTTCCATCTCTGTGTTGTAATTCTTCACAGGAAAGATGCAGTTTGGTTGAAGGCCCAGGTCCACACTGATTTTGTCCACCTAATTTGGAAAAAATTCACAATCAAGAAATGCTGCTCACAAAGTTATTTGTTTGAATTTGAAAGTGTTTTCAATTTTAAAAACAACATTCTACCAACTCATGAAATAGAAACCTACCGTTTCCTTTATGTACTTGCTCTTACACACGTTCTTTACATCGGAGCGGACCTCTGCACAAGCTTCATCAATTTTGGTGAGAACAACCACTTCAGGAATCCCTGCCAATACAAAGTGGAATACAACAGGTTTATGTTTGACAGGTTATTTGATTCAATCTATGAACCACACAATATAAACCTTACCCAATCTGCTAGCTGCAAGTCTGACCTCCCTCATCTTTTTCTTAGATTCATTACTTAGTAGACTTGCTCTGCTGGCATCGATGATACAAACCAGAACATGAACTTTGTCCTCCAGGGTGGGGCTCTTGTTGTAGTTTGGATCATTCTCTGATATTTCAGAGCACGGATTGAACTGTAAAAACAATGTAAATCAAATTATACCTTTTGTGAAAACTTATTTAAACATCTTTACATAAATACAATTCTTGATACAAAACAGAAAGGGAAGCTGGATGGTTTTATTGAAATGCATCAACAATACTCAATGATGTCAATAATTAATTGGACTGTACCTTGTAACCGTCTTTTATGTGTCCCTTCATGTCCAGTTTGATGTCTTCCACACAAATTGCTTGTTTTTCTGACCCCTCGATGCCCATGAGGTCAGTGAAGACAAAAGGGTAAAATGTCCCTGGTCCTCCTTTGTCAATTTTGAAGGTTCGGCGCTATAAAACAGAAAAAAGAAGATATGATGACATCATTGAAACCTTTTGATGAATGTCTATGAAAACTTTATCTCATGCTCATTAATATTATCATAAGCTGCTCAAAGTGCTGCTCGAATCATCTGTGTGCTGCAATTATCTTCACAAGATAACACAAAGTGAGTGAATCAACAAAAGGTGAAAGAATTTCACGATGTGTTACAGTGCACGACATACGACCTCAGTTAAACCAGAAGGGATTCATACTTTCATGGTGAACGTTTTTGAGGAGTTTGTATCTGTCAAAGCTCGACCAGTGATTCTTCCTCGTAAAACACTGTCGACAGAGTTGATGAAGCTGGACTTTCCAGCACCAGTAGATCCATGAAGCAGAACTCTGAGCTGTTTGACGTCTTTGTTATGAGGCTGATAATCCTTCACAAACTGCAGGTCCTCCTGTTTTTGGCTGTTCATTAAAGAAAAGGTAAGATTATCTGTCACATTCTTTCACTGCACTTATCAGTTTTATCTATGTTACAAATATTTTGTGGTAGCTGCACTGTTGCCAGAGGCACCATGAATTAAACATCACTCACCTCCATTGTATTTTCATCCACTCTTTAATCAAAGCTGACAAGTAGAGGGCACACGATGATGTAATATAACCACAACACAAATGAATAATCAGTCGTTATACATTTGCATTTTCATACATCTTAGACAACGTTCAGGATTGTATTTACAACTTTCGATCTACTCTTTCTGCTTTTGATGAGTAGACGACCAAAGTATTCTTCTGAGTAAACAATATTCTGTAATGTTGTAAGTATCTCACTTTTAGGAGGAGCAGGAGCAGGAGCCGGAGCAGGAGCAGGTGTTGACTCTCCTCCACCCATGGCTGAAAAAGGACAGTAAGACAACATTTAAACAAGAACTATTGTTACACATAATTTATTATAAAAAAGCATAAGTTCAGACATGTTGCAACTCATCACTTTTAAAACTGACTCAGGTGCTGTACAAGCAAATCCTGTAATGTATTCTTAATGAATATGTGTTGTTGTAATTCACTCTGATTGTTTGATTGTGGTTTAATCTCTCAATTATATAGTTAAATTTTTATCTGATTTGTAATATTCAAATTATCATACCTGAACTGTTGTGCCTCTAAAAAGAAAAGGAGATGGTTGAATTTGAATTATTATAACTTTGACACACTTTTATATGTTGGCATAATAAAAAATGAAGCACTTTTGCAATGGATTGAACATTTAGGAGCTGAAATGATGATGATGAAGATTCACTGTTTGCTGTAAAAGGAGACCGTAACATGCAAATGACCAACTTTGGCGTACACCTGCATGCAAAGTAAGACTTTATGAACAACGAAGAACATTTCAGCAATCACCAGTTAACCAAATGATAACAGGAGACAATCTGTAAAACCATCAAGACAACAGTCACGAATTTGACAAAAATATAAAATAATTTCAAAGTGAAATCAACCCTCTTTAATATGTAAAGCATTGCTTTTATAAAATTCTAAAAGTCAAAACAGATACACTTTATCAACTGTATGAATATATTGAGCTTAACACAATATCTTCATAAGGTTGATAAAACGTTCCTTGGGGCTGAAGGGAAAGACGTTTAATTTACTTCCATTTTTCAAGCACTAGATCTACAGGTTGTTTACATCTTTCAGTAGATTAATAATAACACCATGAGAATAACGATAATATGCTACAATGCCATAATATTAATCCCTTACCTTTGTATCTGTGGCTCTGCACAGTGCCGAAGTGGTGCAGTGCAGTAATGGTGCAGTAATGATGGAAAGAAGACCCTTATATACTGTAGGCTATGCTTTCACTTTCAGATACAGTAAATCATGTGATTTAGGAGAAGTAAAGGATTAGAATAATGTCTCATGTAATCTTGATTTTCTGTAACATACGTACTGTATATGACAAAACTGATGGATCTGCTTGCTGGTTACTACGTCTAATTGAGCACAAGCTGTACTTTGACTAAAGTGAATTTACGTTCAGAAAATACTTTAGGGAAATGTTGGTTTGATAGTTCTGATCTTAATAATTCCGTAATAAATCTAATGAATTAGCTTGCACTTAAAACAGTTAGTGGTACTGATTAATTTAGTTAAAATTGCAAAAATGTGTCGCTGCACATTGCTCTCCGCTGAGCAAAAGGACAACAACGGAGTCCCAACACACAATATGCGCAGCCATTTCAAATCAAAGCTAAAACCCCAAACACCCCTGTGGTAGACGTTTGACCGAATAAAGGGAGAGAAATTTGTCTTTGTATATTTAATAGACTTCTGCGTAGAAGGACCAAAATAACAGCTTACAATCAAGCAAACTGCCCTGAAATGGTACCGAGGGCAATAAATCATTACAGATTTAAAGAGAGTACAGAGGGGGTTGTTTTCAGTCTGTGGGACTTTCCACAAGTTAAAAGGTGATTTATTCACGGTGGTTTCTGAGAATTTCTGAGGTTGAGGGCAAGGTTATTATAGTTTTGAATTTTTCACTAGTTTTTATTTTTATTAAGTTTTAACTTTTTGTTTTCAATTTCAGTTTAGTTTTAATTAGTTTTTAAAGCGGGTTTGCTAGTTTAGTTTTTATTTTTTGAAAACGCTTAGTTTTAGTTTAGTTTTGATTAGTTTCACTATTGGTTTATTTGTTATAACAATGGGTGGGGGGGGGTAAATAGGAAGCTTCATTTTATATATATTTTACATGCTATAATAAGTAATACAAACTCAAAACAACATACCATTTAAAAAAATGTATTTAGGACAGATGAAGAGCCATCCCCAAAAGACAACTATGGAATATGTGTCAGTCAGTGTGTTTGTGTCATTAACCAGAACAATTCCACTAGACACAACAATATCAACAACAGGACATAAAATGTAGATATGGTGTTATGGAATATTTCAATAAAAGCTCGGTAGAAGAGAATGATTTGTCTGATAAAACAGAGTCTTGATGAATGATCAAAGTTGCAAAAGGTCCATTTATTGCTTGCAAGCAGGAGGTCAAATACACAGGCACGTATCACGGTGCTCTGTGGAAATGGCGTCTCCGAGCACTAAAGACGCTGAGTTTTTATACACATGTGAAGGACATTCTCCGTGCCAGTTACGAGAAGATGCAAAGCAGGTTGAGATAAGAACCCAGGTGAAGCTGAGGGTAGCACACACACACAAGATCCTCCTCAGTGGCCGGTGCAAATCATAATTAATTGACAAAGTAAAACTTGGATCCGGAACTTTCGAGATGTGGGAGCACTTCAATTTGATTTCCTCTAACACGGTTAGCAATAGGCAGGCAAAGTCTGTCATTTGTATTGCGTAATTATGGATGTTTATTTTTATTGTGGAGACCACCAGATATTTGGCTGAGCCAAACATTCCACGGAGTGAAGACCCGCTAAAATATTGGGTCAAACACAAACATGTGTACCCACATCTATTTGTATTAGCACGTAATCTTATGAGCATTCCTGCCTCATCGTGCCGCGTGAGCGCCTTTTTTCTAAAGCTGGGGAAATAGTATCTACAAAAAGAAACCGACTCAACCCCAATACTGTGAAGAAAATTGTGTTTCTCAATAAAAATCAATAATAATTTCATGCCCCATCCCATGTGTCCACAAGCACCTCAATATCCTGTCATAAGAAACATGTCCAAAAGCACAATCACTGCCCCACTGACCTTTCCTCTGCAAATCACTTCCCACATTCAAACAATTCACATAAGTCCCTATGACTGCCATGAACTGCACATGCAGTAGGAAGCACTTGCTGGTATTTTAAATTATATTACCTACATATAACATTATATATATATATATATATATATATATATATATATATATATATATATATATATATACATCCATCCATCCATCCATCCATTGTCAAACCGCTTATCCTGCACACAGGGTCGCGGGGGGGCTGGAGTCCATCCCAGCCAACTTCGGGCGATAGACAGGGTACATCCTGGATTGGTCGCCAGCCAATCGCAGGGCAACACAGAGACATACAACCATTCACACTCACATTCACACATCTACGGGCAATTTAGAGTCCCCAATTAACCTGATCCCCAGAGCATGTCTTTGGACTGTGGGAGGAAGCCGGAGAACCCGGAGAGAACCCACACAGACACGGGGAGAACATGCAGACTCCACAGAGAAAGGCCACTGGGCGGAATCGAACCCAGGACCTTCTTGCTGTGAGGCAACAGTGCTAACCACCATGCCACCGTGCCGCATTATATATATATATATATATATATATATATATATAATGCGGCACGGTGGCATGGTGGTTAGCACTATATATATATATATATATATTCTATTCATTTTTCTGCTAGTATGATCACAAACATACATGCACAAAGGTGCAGAAAGACACATAGATAAGTATTTGTTCCACTTCTTCCCAATGTACAGAGAATTGAAATACACAAACAAGGACACAATGCAAACCTGAAAACAATAGTTTCATTCATATAGGAATCCATGTATTTATTAGATGATTTATTGGTTCAACTTTTCATAATCATGTTCAACCCACAGAGACTGGGCCAAAATATACTGGTAGGCTATTCGATACATTTGCACTATAGGTTTTCAACAGCAGAGGTCACCATAGAGTTTGCGATGCGTTGAATGAAGGAACCTTTTCCCGATACAATTGGCTGGAAAGCTTCACTGGTTCAGAAAGCTTCACTTTGCCATCACTAATTTGCGCTGATAGACTGCAGTATCTTATGCGCCTTATTGTGCGGAAAACACGACACATGAGCTCCGGAGAAAATGGTATACAAAACATACATTGTCGGTTAATACATTTTTAATTGGTTAAATTCTTAAGGTCATTTATTCATCCCTAGTTTATGTTTTGATCAGAGTTGTGATTAAAGGTTTGGGTGGGCCGTAAAAGATAACCTGTCAATCACAAGGTAGCCCCGCCCTAAAGCTGGACTGGATTTATTCTACCATAACATTTTTTTGTTGTTGAAAAGTTTAAGGCATTTCCACTTTTTCAGATCTTTGCTCTCATGTTTCCTATATAATTAAGTGTCCATTGTCACGGCTGTCACCGTGGTCTGTTTCTCTGTCTTGTCTGTACCAAGTAGGCTGTGCGGCCCTGTGGACTGAAGCCCCGCCTACTTCCTGGTTTTGGTGGAGCCCCACAGGTTCACTCCAGCTCCACCCATTGGTCCACCCTGTCCCAGCGCGCCCAATGGCAGGTCACCATCGCAGCCTTACCTCCAGCTCTTAAGGAGAGCCCACCAGTGGCTCGAGGCAGCTTGTCTTGGCCAGTTGACTTGTGTGCCTTCTGTGTTCGTAATTGAGTGCACCTGGGTAGAGTACTGTGCTTTGGTTCTGTGTGTTTTTGCCAGCACGGAGCTGACAAAAGGGGGTGAGTTAGGGCCAGAGTCTATACTGATTTCACCACACGCAGTTCTGTGTTTGTTAGCTTCATAGGTGTAGTGGGTGCTGTGCTCTTTGTGTTTTTTTCTGGTAAGCGCCTACTGTTTGTTTAAACATATATTCAGGCATAGCCCTCCTTTTGGGGATCTCTTTTATTTTACTTAGTTTGTTATTTCACAGCACCCTCATCCACCCTCCTTTTGTTTGTTGTGACGTGCCTGTTTACCTCTGGTTGCCAATAAATACTACCCTTTTACAACCGACCAGGGGCCTGTTTCAGAAAGGAGGTTAAGTGAAAACTCTGAGTATGTTAACCCTGAAATGAGGGAAACTCCGAGTTTTCTGTTTCAGAATGGGAGGTATGTTAAACCTGAGAAAGCAGAGTAAGTCAAGCCTGTTTCAGAAAGAGAGGTAACTTATACTCAGAGTCAGTTACCATGGCAACTTACTCTGTGAACCTAACCTGGTCGGGAGCAGGTTTTCTTCGGGAAACCCAGAGTTTATTTCGTCTCCTCCCCTTTTTTAAAGAGGAAGTGGTATTTAATCACCTCATTCATTCTTTCGGTATTCATTCATTGCGCACATTTCAGTCACGCAGAGCGCATCAAATCAACACTGGATGCTATTTAGTTATTTATATGTCAAATGTTTGTAAAGTCAGGTAGACTACAACCATGATATGTTCAAGCCTTACCTGATTGAATTATGTTTTTATATTTCATTTTCAGCTGCTGCCATGTTCTTTTAATGCCTGCAGGATTGCACCTACATGAAAATTAAAATTAGGTTGAATAACACACTGTTCTTCCAGTTTCACTTCTGATATTATAACAGTTGGGCAAGTCACTTATATTACTAACTACAACTGGCTTCTTCAACAGTGTAATTAGATTAATGTAATAATGACTATCTCTAGAAAGTATTGGTCTACTTATTACTAATTACTTTCTAAATCCCATATCAACCTCAACCACTTGAACAATACAAGGAGAGACAAGAAACTGCACTTTTAATGCTTTCAAATAAACATTATACAATTGCATGAATTATTCTTGAAAAAATATATCTTTTAAAATTTGATGTTAAATCCACTATTGTTTTATACAGAATTGCTTTATAGTTTATGCAGCATTTAATGCAATTACATCATATTTTACTTTAAATTACGGAATTGAATTAAAGTTTTTGGATTACATAGAAATTAATTACACACAACACTGTATAACAGTAATTCAAATGTAAACTTATGCATTGACTCGAGCAGCTATTTTCTCCCAAGCTAACTCTCTGTCCTTCGCCGCTGCAGCCGTGTTGCTTTTTTTTTTAAATATATGTTCGTACTCTCCATATGCTTGCATAAGCACATCCAGTTCTGCTGGTGAAAAATATGAAGACCTCTTTTTGTCTGGCGCTGTTGCCATGGTGACTCGTAATATCTGCGCTCCATTGATAATGGCTTTTTATAGTTGTGGTGCACGCGCTTAACTCAGAGTAGGTCAACTCAGAGTTGATTGAACTAACTCATTTCAGCTGTTCTGTAACCGAAAACTCAGAGTTTCCCATCTCAGGGTAAGTCAACTCAGAGTTCAAGTTTTAACTCAGAGTTGGTTGAACCTCCTTATTGAAACAGGCCCCAGGTTCTGCCCATATGTTTATGGTCCCCTCACCCCTAGACCATCCAGGGGGTCGTAACACCATACAAACAGAATAAACTGCCGTTTGAAATATAATTAAGGTTAACTGATCAAAATATGTGGCTAAGGGACAATACATACAAGAAAAAAGACAATACAAAACAACTCTGTGGGTTTAATAAATAACAACTAGATTTGACTCAAAAAGACCTTGAATGATTGAAAACAAAACCTGACAAAAATGTAACAAAAGTACTTTGTTAGCTTTAGGCATAAAAACTAATACTTGCTTATGTTTAGGCAACAAAAGTACTTAGTTCACAAGAGACACACACAGTTACCTCCTGTATGTGCAGTCATTCAACCATCACGCACTTGGCAACATTCCGTAGCCTCTGTAATGGTAAAAAATATGTTATAACATTGTTTTGTGCTAAAGCCGTGTCTCAAGTGTCCTGTATTTGACCCTGACGTGCAAAGAGCAGTATGATACAAAATGTTAGTTTGCAGCTGTGCTCTGAGAAGGGAGGACGGTTGACTCGATCTCATAGAAGCTTCAAAGCAAAGGACTCCTCTTCATGGCCTTGGTTGATATCTTATTCTGCACGAAAGTTCTGGATCCAAGTTTTACTTTCATGTCAAGTAACAATGATTTGCAGCGGCCATTGAGGAGGATCTTGTGTGTGTGTGCTACCCTCAGCTTCACCTGGGTTCTTATCTCAACCTGCTTTGCAGCTTCTCGTAGCTGGCACGGAGAATGTCCTTCACATGTGTATAAAAACTCAGTGTCTTTTGTGCTCGGAGACGCCATTTCCACAGAGCACTGTGATACGTGCCTGTGTATTTGACCTCCTGCTTGCAAGCAATAAATGGACTTTTTGCAACTTTGATCATTCATCAAGACTCTGTTTTATCAGACAAATCATTCTCTTCTACCGAGCTTTTATTGAAATATTCCACAACAATTTGGCGTCACGAACAGGATACGCTGACCGTCCGTCAGGCTCCAGGGGACCGTCCGGGAAAAAAGGCCTTTTCCAGGATCACCAACTGATGATCCTGCCTCATACCTCCTTAGACAAGAGAGAAAGGACCGGCGGAAACCAGAGGAGTCCTGATTGACGTCACGTGTATCCAGCGAAAAAGAATTAATTTCTACAAACTCGGGTAAGAAGTTGAAATTCCAATTATAAAGTAACAGTAAGAGTTGAACATAACGGAAACGGATGACTGATCAAGTGGTTGTTATAGTCTGGGGAATACAATTATTATTATTATTATTTTATTTTTTTAACGTTTTGGGTTTTTATTATTTTTATTATTTAGTACATGATTCCGGGATATTTCTAATGCATCATTTTATGCGAAGGTAGATAGGATCGTTCGACTTCACTCGGAACAAATTCTCCGAGATCGTAACGCAGATCGCTTGACTACCCGGGTAAAATAAGACCGTTGTTATTGACCAAACGTGAATTCCACCTGTGGAATAAGATCGTGGAAATAGCGTACGTGAATTTTATGCTGAAGCAGGTAAAACGATATCACTGTTATTGATAACCAAACGTGAGTTCTATTGAATTACCCTTAGAATAAGATCGTGGCAATATCAAAGCGTGAGTTTTACGCTGAAAAACATTCAAAACAATATCACTGTTTTTGTTAACCAAACGTGAGTTCTATTGAATTACCTTTAGAACAAGATCGTGGCAAAATCGAAGCGTGAGTTTTGAGTGGGGTTTTTGCAAAGTTTTTCCTTGAGTAAAGAAACTAAGCCTTACGGTGACGACTGTATTGTAATAAGTAAACCGGTAGGGTCCACCAGTAAAAGATGGGTGGCCAGTCCGCAAAACACACGGAACGTCGGGTCCGATTGTGGCAATGATGCAGCAGAAATACGGGAAAACATGTACAGAGCGTCTCCCATACTGGACAAAAGAGTTTGGGTTTCCAGAAAACGGCTCGTTGAGTGCCGCTAAACTTAAAATGTTAAGAGGGGATTTGGAAGGTTGGAAGAAAGGTTAAAAAAAAAAAAAAAAAATGGAAAGTGGTAAAAAGATCTAAGTTAAAGACTTGGAAATAATAGAGAAAAACCAGACATGTCTGGCACAATGGGAAATGGAATGTGAATGCAGGGAGAGAAAACGAATGATGAAGAAAATGACGTGTTTAAAAACTGAAAAACCTGACATTGAAACACAGAATAATCCATGTGTGTCTTCTCCACTGTATCCATCCCTGACAGGCGCAGGCGGTCCTCTCCTGAACACGTGTTATCAAATTCCTGCACCACCTCCAGTCCAACAATCACCACCACCGTACAACCCCGATCCTACGGTTGGCAGACCTGTAACACGCAGTCAAACCCGGCTGGGAGACCAGGGAGGTGCAGACGTCAAATCATGCTCACCCCTCAACCCATTGAGACCTGACCCCACAGCTCAGTCCACCCCGGACTCTGCGTGGTCAATCCACGACCCATCCCCCTGGAGGGGCACAGCTAGCAGAATTGTGGATTTTCTTAGTCCTAACACCACCATGGACAGTAAACTGGACGGGTCTTATATTCAAGCCCCCATGTTTCAGGTTCCAGGGCCATAGGATGGACTACCTGCCTCCCATCTGCCCACCATAAAAAATGGCGTGGCTTTTGGAAAAGAGTTCCTGACGTTATGCAAAGACATAACAGCCATCTGTGCTGCTGTGGTTGCGGCCTTCCAAGTCAACATGGCACTCATCAACAGCACGAAACAAGGTAAAGCCGAAGATGTAACGTCTTACTATCAGCGTCTTGTGGCTGCCTTTCAGATTCACAGCGCTCTCGAGGAGCCCACAGACATAACCAACATGACTGTGTGGGAAACTCATCTCAAGAACGCCTTCATGAACGGGCTTCTGCCAGACGTCAAAACTGCCACTGAACGCTCTGTCGTGGGTCTGGAAGATGCAAGGCTCACAGAAGTGGTAAAACATGCACGACACAATTATAAAATGCATGTGGAAAATCAAATGTGTCGAGACAAACGCAGAAAGCAGACAGGGGAGAAAGTCACGCTTGCGATGCTCCAAGCCGTAAAACAGTTGACACTGGGTGCAGAAGGAGGACGAGACCCCCACCCATCCGGAAATACTTATGGGAGGGACCAACAGAGAGGACGAGCGTATGGAATAAATCATGGGAGAAGAGGGCGTTTTCAAGGAGGGGCCCCACGAGAAGTGCAACCCGATGAATGCTTCCTCTGTGGCAAAACAGGACATTGGTACAAAGACTGCCCCTACCGTTCAAACCAGGTACGTCAGCCACGTGGACGACAGCGCCACTCCGGGACTGACAGAGGGGGTCAACAATTCGGCACATCAGACTGACTGTGTGTGTGGGATGGAGATTGCACGTGTGAAGGGATGACTACTGCTGCCTCTCCAAAACAGGGAAGTGAAACACACCACGCACACCCACACACACACACACACACACACACACACACACAATGCTGCAATGAAGAAATGCTTCCTCGCACGCACACTGCAGAACAGCATGCTGTTTTGCACAGCATCATTTCTCACTTAGAGCAACAGCAACAGAATACATCCGCACCACCGCCACTCACGTATGCTATGTTTTCATCAGATGCATACAAAGATATGCCAACTACAAGAGTAATTGTGGAAGGGAAAGAATTGGCGTTTTTAGTAGACTCCGGAGCTACTCATTCAGTAATTCAAGAAAAACCTTTCCAAATCAAAAAAAAATGAGTGGGCGATATGTATATTCTCAAGGGGCTTCTGGTTTGACTGTGACAGAAAAATTTACTGCACCTATGACGAGTGTACACTCTGACGAGACTGACCTAAACCCTGACATAAAAGTAAAACTTTTTTTTTTTTTTACTCTCTTCACTCTGTCCCATAAATCAGATGGGCAGAGACTTGATGTGTTCATGTGGTATTTGTTTGACGTCATCTCCAGACGGCTATTTTGAAGGGACATTTTTCAGGCCCTCAATGATGCAATTGCCTGTTCTACTTTGTACTGGTCGACTTGTAAATCTGCTGTGTCTCTGTTTCTCTGTCTCCCACACAGAAAGAACTGTTTCAAGTTCCCGGCTCCTATCCCCATGTCTCACTGTCTAAAGGACGCCTTGACCAATGGAGGGATTTGGGACCATTTGTGGCTCAGTGTGAATCTCTCACTGACTGGGAGGAGACAATCGATCCGCTCGTTCTGCGCTCCGCCTCTACAGGGTAGACAGAACTCACTGTGTACACTGTTGCGTATTTCTCCGCAAAACTCGACCCTGTCGCTGCAGGACTGCCACAATGTTTGCGCGCTGTGGCCGCGGCTGAAAAGGCACTCACTATAGTGGGTTACGCACCACTCACTCTGCTCGTTCCGCACGCGGTTTCTTTGATTCTCCTCGAACAGAAATCATCTCACCTCTCTGCGGCTCGCTATTTGCGTTACCACACGTGTCTCCTGGACATGCCGAATGTCACTATAAACGTTGTACTAACCTAAACCCTGCATCATTACTTCCTATTCCTGGGGATGGGGAGGACCACAACTGTTTGGCTGAGCTCCAAGCTCAGTGCACTCCTCGCCCTGACCTAGTGGACACTCCATTGCCTAACAGCGACATGGTAATGTATGTGGATGGATCCGCCTCCCGTGATCCTCAGTCTGGTGAAAATCGTGTTGGTTTTGCTGTTGTTTCTGACTCTGGACTGCTGTGTTCAGGTCCTCTGCCATGTCACCTCTCAGCCCAGGCAGCCGAGCTCATCGCTCTGACTGAGGCCTGTAAACTGGCTAAGGGTAAAACAGTCACAGTTCACACTGACTCTCGCTATGCGTTTGGTGTACTACATGATTTTGGGGTGCTGTGGAAACACAGGAACTTCCTTAAACCCGACGGCAAGCCGTGTTTACCTAAACACTATTTTGCTCATTATGCTAAGTTGACTCATGGGTTAGACCATGTGTCAAAAGGGGGAATGTTACGTGCACTTAATGAGACGTGGTTTACAAAAGGGTTCACAGCATATGCACAAAAATTCTGTTCTGCATGTGTCACCTGTTCTACTCACAATGTAGGCAGGCCCGTGGGCGTGTCCAGCCAGGCTGCACACCCACCACCAACCCGCCCGTTTGAGCACATTATGATGGATCTTGTGGAGTTGTCTCCATCACAAGGTAAGAAACACTGTCAAGTGATGGTGGACATGTTTTCCAAGTGGGTTGAGGTTTTTCCATCAAGCAAACAAACCACTACAATAGTAGCCAAGGCCCTAATTTCTGAAATCATTCCTCGATGGGGCATTCCTTCTAAAATATCAAGTGACAATGGTTCTCATTTTGTCAACCAGGCCATTACAGAATTAAGCGCATACCTGGGTATTGATTTAAAACCACACTGCGCATACCATCCAGCCAGTGGAGGGGCTGTGGAACGAGAAAATGGCACACTCAAAACCAAATTGGCAAAATGCTGTGCAGACACAGGTCTGCCCTGGACAAAAGCCCTGCCTCTAGTGTTGATGTGCATGCGCATGAGAAAACCAACACGAAGCTACCTGAGTCCCTTCGAGATATTGTTTGGTTTTCCTCCTCACGTAGGAACCGAGGCACCGATGGCACCACTCCCTTCAACCGCATTATGCGAACATGAAATGTTAAAATATTGTGCACAACTGTCTTCTGCTCTGTCTAACATACGACAACAGGTTGCAGCCGCCCTTCCAAAACCAGCTGAAGGACCACTCCACAAGCTGAAACCTGGTGACTTTGTGATGGTGAAAGACTTCAGAAGAAAAAACTGGAAAGCACGACGCTGGCAGGGACCATTCCAGATCCTCCTTGTCACCCAAACAGATGTCAAAGTAGATGAGAGGGCAACTTGGGTCCACGCGTCCCATTGCAAGAAGGTTCCAGTACCATCAGTGGGCTCAGGCGACCCTACCCCCACAACAAGTGTCAATCAACCGACACCACCGTTGCAGTGACCACGGACGGGTTCACAACGGGCAGTTGACCGACAGACACACAGTGCATTGTGATCTGTGTTGACTGTCTACAACGCGGGTGCCTCACAAGAAAGAAGGTTGGCAGACTCCACATCCCAACGTGTACCTGCGGACCAACACAGGAAGAACACGGCCAGGACCCCTCCACATAGACACAGCAGTCGTTTGTGTCACTACGGTTTCATTCATATTATTGCTTGCTTCAGTTTCATTATCTAAGTATCTTTTTGTGATTTTGTAATCAGCTATCTAAAGAGTGGTTTACATTTGTTTGCTAAACACGAGACATGGTCTCACAAAAACATATTTTTTTTGCAATATTATGTGTGATTAAAGAATAATCAAAAGAGTGGAATGTAATGGTAAAAAATATGTTATAACATTGTTTTGTGCTAAAGCCGTGTCTCAAGTGTCCTGTATTTGACCCTGACGTGCAAAGAGCAGTATGATACAAAATCTTAGTTTGCAGCTGTGCTCTGAGAAGGGAGGACGGTTGACTCGATCTCATAGAAGCTTCAAAACAAAGGACTCCTGTTCATGGCCTTGGTTGATATCTTATTCTGCACGAAAGTTCTGGATCCAAGTTTTACTTTCATGTCAAGTAACAATGATTTGCAGCGGCCATTGAGGAGGATCTTGTGTGTGTGTGCTACCCTCAGCTTCACCTGGGTTCTTATCTTAACCTGCTTTGCAGCTTCTCGTAGCTGGCACGGAGAATGTCCTTCACATGTGTATAAAAACTCAGTGTCTTTTGTGCTCGGAGACGCCATTTCCACAGAGCACTGTGATACGTGCCTGTGTATTTGACCTCCTGCTTGCAAGCAATAAATGGACTTTTTGCAACTTTGATCATTCATCAAGACTCTGTTTTATCAGACAAATCATTCTCTTCTACCGAGCTTTTATTGAAATATTCCACAACAATTTGGCGTCACGAACAGGATACGCTGACCGTCCGTCAGGCTCCAGGGGACCGTCCGGGAAAAAAGGCCTTTTCCAGGATCACCAACTGATGATCCTGCCTCATACCTCCTTAGACAAGAGAGAAAGGACCGGCGGAAACCAGAGGAGTCCTGATTGACGTCACGTGTATCCAGCGAAAAAGAATTAATTTCTACAAACTCGGGTAAGAAGTTGAAATTCCAATTATAAAGTAACAGTAAGAGTTGAACATAACGGAAACGGATGACTGACACCTCATTCGAAACTCATTTGTGTTACTTAAAAAGCAAATCCAACCTGTTGAGGTAGTTTCAGTCGCGGCGGAGCGTAAGGTCCCCTTGTTAGAGGAAAACCAGTTTACCAAAGCAGGACAGCACACCTCAGAACATATCTATCATCAATTATAGATCTATGTATTGCTAAAAATACACTTGAGTGCGTGGTTTATAGGTTTTCATTTCTTTGTACAGACACAGCTTTAAAACAAAGTTCTACTTGATTTGGGGGATTTACGCATGTATAAATGAGGCAGAGTGAATCCAACAACCTCTCGTGCAGATTTATACACAAAAGAAATAAGTAATGAGTTCAGAAGCAACGAGAAACTAGATGGCTGTGAATTAGTTTTAATGATGTAAACAGGTTTCGAGTTGCCTCAGACTCAATCAGAACCAAATGTAATGTTAGTCATCAACATCGTAAGTAATTTTCACTGATTCATTACATGTCTTTGTCTCCTGATGACATCAGAGCGCAGAGGAAACAGGGTTGTAGTAATAACAGAGCAGGGAGGATGTGATAATACCACAGAATTTACATCCGTGTGAAATGTTGGTCATGATTTAGCAACCAATCAATGACCAAGCTGGTGTTTGGTCAAAACCTCTTCCCAGAACAAAGGCCCAGCGTACTTTTCACTTTTCCATCGCTGGTGGTGCAAATCCAAATTAATCAAACTGGCTCAAGTTGAAAACAAAAAACAGAAGCAAGTTCAGTTACAAAGCGCTATGAATAGTGTAATATTTCGTGAAATAGAGAATCTCCCGTCCTCAGTCCAATATCACCAACACAGAGGGTTCTCGGGGAGATTCTGACTCTTTCTCCTCTGGTACAGTTTTTATGTATCTTGTGGGGTGTGTTCATTATTTTTATAGAATGATGTGACTGGCTGCACATCCAAACATAGCTCCGCCCAAGTTATTCACCGCTGTCATCCACATCCAGGCATTTTATCACCTTTATTTATTTTATCACATTTGTCTCCATCTGGTGAGCAAATCTGGAATTCCCCTCGCTCACCTTACCAGGCTCATCAATATGACAATATTTCACCTTAAGCTTCTTTAATTAAAAATAATATCATAAACTACATAAAATATTTTACGGTTGTCATGCAGAGGGATTTCCTATCTGTACACGTACGACATCCTTGCTCCCAAACAAGGAATAAATAAGGATAAAATAAGGAATAAAATCTGTTGAAGAAGGAGACAAACATCCTTGAAGCACACTGAGCATTTACTGCACATGTGAAGGATACACACTGTATGGTCACGGTGTGCAGCATGTGTGTGAGTGTTTGTGTGCGTCCAGCTGTCACACGGCTTCACTGTCAATGAGTGTGCAGAGACGTTTACGTGTCCACAGCACACTGTCCCCGATGTCCTGAGGCCCCGAGTCAAAAGAGCTGGGACAGACGGTCTGAGTCACGACAAGTCTCTCTTCAATTCAAGGCTCAAGGCTGGCAGGCCGATTCACACATCTACATTTTTAAACCACACACAAACACACACACACACACATGCACACACATACACATGGTCGGAGCACAAGTCTGAGCACATAAAAATATTTTTTTTAAACTCAAAATCAAATTTAGAAAGATATGGTGGATTGGTGTCCCAGGTGGTGGTGTCCCTCTTTCATGTTTTTGCGTGTTTGAGTTTGCTTCACTTTTAGTTTCACGTGTGGTGCTCCTTGGGTCCCCTTTTCTTTGGACAGTCCATCATCTTAAGTCTCAGCCCTGATTGGTTCCCCCGTTGCTCGTCCCAGACTGAGTGAGGTTTTTACAGTTTTTAAACCGTAAATTGAATTTAATAATATTACCTTTTTGTATTGTAAATTGCGTCTGTCTCACGTGTGACGAGCTGGAGTGCCTCCCCTTAGTTTTGTTGGGTTGAAGATTTAAAACAATTTCCTGGGTGAAATTCCCAGGGTGGCGTTGTTTGGCAACATTACAATTTTTAAACTGCCCTCACCCATACATCACGCCTCGTGTCGCTACATGTATAATACGTTAAATTCATCCGACAGCAATGATTCAAATTCACATTATCTCATCATATGTGTTCATGATCATTTCCTGCTCATCGGTGGAGAAAAACGCTTTAAGTTTATTTCCCGTTATAATAAAAAAATCCTGGTTTTCTGTGATCGACTCTTCTGCATTCTAACGTAACAACATTATCCTGATTGACATCTGATTCAAACGAACGAGACGGTTTGAACGCCGATCCGCCTTCGAGGAACCGAGAGCCTGATTTCAATCATCTTTGTAATTTGAGCTGGATAATCGGACATTGGATCGACTTAGTTGAACCACGTACAAGGAACAGGGCCCAGCTCGGGCACAGACCTCCCTGGTACGCAGCAACGAGCGTGGTCACTGGCCCTTAATCCCAAAGCCATCAAAACTCATGTAGTCGGTTGTAGAATGAAGGGTCAATCCGGTTCCCTTTATCATTTATTAACATATTAGAAAAAAAAGATAATAACTTCAGCTAAAAAACTCTTCTGTGTCATTAAAAGTTAACGAGAACCTGAAACCATTAATGCATTAGCCACTTTTCTTATTTTCAACATAAGTAGTATGAGAATAATACGGGTATTCTACACAAAGATGAATAAGCATTAGAGGGGCAGGATTTGGACTCAGTTTTCTAATTGGAGGACCTCTGAGTGTGTGTCAGCGTCCACATCCTGTCCAGCAGAGCAAGCAAAGGCCTTAATATTCCTGCCCTTCCTCTTCCTCTGGATGCATGAGGCCTGTCAAACTTAAATATATTGTTCAAGGAAAAATGATCTAAATAATAAAGATTGTTGAACCTCTTCTGCTCAGTGTTCTGCTCTCCAGCAGCTGGTCCTGCACCGCAACCAACATGACAATATTGTGTAATACTGTATTACATTATAAGACAATATAGGGAACGGTAAGTACTAGAAGGAATACAACAAAACTAGAGACTAGAAACAAATGTCATTATTTGTTATTTATTGTGGGTTTACGTAAACAGCAGTATAGCATGCATGTGTAAATACACATTAAAAACATTCAAACTTGTATTAGTCTACTGATTATCCAATCAAATTTAGCCCCGTCTAGACTTAACTATTTTTTTGATCTTCTATTTACCAGATCGATGATTACTCGATCGATGTTTTGACTCTGCTCCATGCTTGCAAGCATTTAATAAATGTCTTGTTAAATGATTTCACACCGGTGTTGAGTAAAAGTTTCTTATGGAATTTAAATGATGTACCTGGTTTCATGTTAAGAACATGCCCCTGCACAAATGCGTAATAGAAAGTATTCAAAGCAATGTTGTTATGCTAAGGTTCATCTTGTTGGGGGAGAATTGGTTGAGCTGGAAATTGTGATTGTCTCAGGAACCTTTCCTTACTTGGAAAACTATGATTGACTGGGCCCGTTTAAGGGAGGGGTCACGGGCGTCTCCCAGCGACATCTGTTTACAACAAATCTTCCTTTTGTAGGGGGGGTCTTCTGTTTTCCTAGACACAAACCTCTCCGGTGTATAAAAGCTCCTGTTCTCCCCCAGAAACTTGGTCAGATCTTCTAGCTCCTCTGTGGGAGAAAGAACAATCTGCCCCTTTTCATGTGAATTGTAGTCCTTTGCGGTCTGTACTGTTTGTGTTGATGATTTCTGTATTCTTTATCATGTTTCTATATTCTAGTTAGTAATTAGTCACAAAGCAAGTTCAAGATACTTTTGATTTGTCACAAGGGCTTAATCCACAAATTTCCACCACACGTCTCAGCAGTTTGAAGGTCTACTGCTTGTCGACAAAGTCTTCTCCAAAGTAAATCATCTGTTTCACTGCAGTCAGGATCAGCGCATTCATGTCATCATTGGTGTCGATTTCTTCGTGGTAGTTCCTCACGAGAAAGATGCAGTTTGGAGAAATGCCGAGCAACACACTGAATTTGTCAACCTAAGACGGGATACCAGGATATTACTCTATATATACTCTAACAACAAATACAAAGTCAACAATAGAAACGTACCAGTTCCTTCAAGTATATGCTGCCATATACTTTGTCCATATTTGTGTTCACTTCAGGACACGCTTCATCAATTTTAGTCAGAATAGCCAGTTGAGGAATTCCTGTAAAGACAGAAACATAATTTGTTCTACTTTGCTGGTGTTTTGATTCATGAAAACAGACTTGATTCCATTGAGATCTCTGCTCTTACCCATATCACTGGCTGCTAGTCTGACTTCTCTCATCTTCTTCACAACTCCATCACTTAATATAGACACTGAACCAGCAGGAATGACCGACACCAGGACGTGAACTTTGTCATTCAGAGTGGGAGATGAGTTGTAGTATTTGTCATTCTCCTGAATCTCGAGGTCCGACTTGAACTTGTAAAACAATTAAAAAAAGAAACTACTATTAACTATCAAATAGAACAGCTAAACAATAGGATTTGGAATAAAAAAGTAACGCAAAAAGTGTCACAAAAAGAAAAGTTGATAACTTCAGCGTTTTACCTGATAACCTTTTGACACGTGTCCGTTTAGGGCCAGTTTCACATCCTCCACTTTCACTCCCATTTCGGTCTTTTCCTCAAGGCCCATTATGTCATTGAAAATGAAAGAGCAATAGCTTCCATCGTCTTTTTTTATTTTGTAAGCCTGGTACTGTAAAGAAGGTGGAATTATTTGCATTATTACTTCTACCAAGAAACAATAGGTGAGGCATTCAAGTGATTTCTCAGCTTCCATTATCAGCACGGTAACAAAATAAATGTGTACTTTGAGCAACATCTAAACAGTCATGGTTTCACAAGGCTGGGCTTTAGGGGAAAATATTTGTATTCCTCTATTTCAATCTCTCTGTATAGTAATGTATTTCTATTTATGCAAATATGCACACATGTTAAATTAATTTTGTGTTGTTTTCACGGATAAGTTATTCATCATTTTTTAAAGCTCTTAGGGAGGTTGACATGAACATCATCAGCTCTAAACCCTTTTGTTCTGGCTGAATGATGCCTGCATTGGCCTACAAAGCTCAATAGATCAATTGCGGTATGAAGTTGTTTTAACTGTTCTTTAGAGTCCACAAACAATTTACACAATTTTCATACTTTCCGTGTAAAGCTGCTTCCAGAGGTTGCATCCGTTTGAGCTGAAATAGCAACTCTGTCTCTTAAAGCACTTTGAACAGAGTTGATGAAGCTGGACTTTCCAGCGCCGACTGGTCCGTGAAGCAAAATTCTCAGATTTTTGACATCTGGGTGTCCAGGTTTGTAAGAATTCAGAAATGTATAATTCTTCAGGTAGCCTCTTTTCAACGAAGAAACAAATAATTAGAACACTAATACTTCATTTATTCCCATTATTAAATGTACAACATGTGAATCATACTCACGTTTTTACATCCCTCCATGGCTGACCAAAATGTACTAAAGAGAAAGTTACATATGTTAACTGGCATTTTCTTTTTCTTTAATGTTGGAATAATTTAAATTTTGAATCAATTTTGCAATAGATTTTATTTACAACTTTCGATCTACTCTTTCTACTTTTGATGAGTAGACAAGCAAAGTATTCTTTTGAGTAAACAATGTTCTGTAATGTTGTAAGTATCTCACTTTTAGGAGGATCAGCAGGTGTTGACTCTCCTCCACCCATGGCTGAAAAAGGACAGTGAGACAACATTTAAACAAGAAGCATTGTTACACATAATTTATTATAAAAAAGCGTAAGTTCAGACATGTTGCAACTCATCACTTTTAAAACTGACTCAGGTGCTGTACAAGCAAATCCCGTAATGTATTCTTAATGAATATGTGTTGTTGTAATTGACTCTGATTGTTTAATTGTGGTTTAATCTCTCAATTATATTAGTTAAATTTTTATCTGATTTGTAATATTCAAAGAATCATACCTGAACTGTTGTGCCTCTAAAAAAAAAGGAGATGGTTCAATTAGAACTATTATAACTTTGACACACTTTTACATGTTGGCATAATAAAAAATGAAGCACTTTTGCAATGGATTGAACATTTAGGAGCTGAAATGATGACAAGTCAAGATTCACTGTTTGCTGTAAAAGGAGACTGTAACATTCACTGTTTGCTGTAAAAGGAGACCTTAACATGCAAGTTCAGACATGTTCGACAATTGCTAGGTTTAAATTTGATCTGAATTGATGATATTCAAAGAATCGTACAGTAAATGTTTTGCCTGTTAAAAGAAAAAGAGATGGTTCAATAAATTATTATAACTTTGACATATTTTTATATGTTGCCATAATAACAAATTTGAAGCACTTTTGCAATGGATTGAACATCTAGGAGCTGAAATTATGACAGGTCAGAAAGTTGTATTTCTGTGACTGACACGGCTCGTTAGTTTCCCTTAATAATTCAGGATGTTCCACTTTATTTAGTTCATCAGTAGCCAAACCGTAGCAGTGGTGCCACGCAGCTGGTACAATGATGCTGACTGCCTTAAGCCTCGTTACAAGAGGGACAATAGAGTGGACGGGGCTGTCCACAATGCAGATGAACCGGGCCCTGACTGGAAGACATATGACAGCAGAGTCATTACATCATAGGATATGCTAATATCCTTTCGGCAGTTGTATAAGATATCAAAAATAATTTAAAAAATGTAATTTGCCTTTTTAATTATACAGGGAAAAACATTAGAATCTTTTTATTTATTTTATTTGTTCTGTTTCTGGCTGTATCGTTCCTCGCTGTGTTTGGGTGCCTCTATGCTTCGTGTTGCAGGACTGCAGCGTCGGGTGGATGCTATCATGACTAAGCACTTATTGTAAATCGCTTTGGATAAAAGCTTTAGCTAAATGATGTGTAATGTAATAAAAACAATTTGAACCAACAGAATTCTTAACAGTATGATGAGAATTGGGGAAACTGCAGCATGCTGGGGGATCGTCTTGATCCCCTGACCGATTATATCGAGTCTTATTTAAATAAAAATCTGACACTGGATAATGAAAGAATGATTATCTAGTCGGAATTTGCGATAAGTGATAAAATGATGAATAAAATGATTATTTGTAATCTTTTAATCTTGTGGTGCCAGAGATGATCGTCTACATCTGAGGTCGACTACCAGCACTTGGGTTTTGGCCAGAGCCTTACCCTGTTTTAGCATGTTTATCTTCCAGCTATATATTCCTGCTCCGAAGGTAAAAACCTTTGAGTAGGATGGAGCATAACCTGTACGTGTGTCAACTCTGTCTCCTGTTTGCAAACATTAAATATCCTATATTCTCACTATCCGAATGAGAATTTTCATTTACTTCTTTCAATCCCTAGATGTACAGGTAGTTTACATCTTTCAGTAGAATATTTATTAACACCATGAGAATAATGATAATACACCCAAAATAGTTGGTAGACGTCAGAGAAATCCCTTACCTTTGTGTCTGTGGCTCTGCAGAGTGCCGTAGTGACGGAAAGAAGATGCTTCTTATATACTGTACGCTTTGTTTCACTTTCAGATACAGATCATGTGACTCAGGAGAAGGATAAGATTGGAATAATGTCTCATTTAATCTTGATTTCTGTAATAAACGGTAGCGTATATGGTGACCAAACCGATGGATTACTCTGCTTGCTGGTTGCTACGTCTAATTGTGCACAAACTACATGGAATATAAGTTTAGATTGTAGAGTGATTAAGTTGTTGTAGGACAACTTTCTCAATTATTTTACTTATGAAAGGTAGATTTGAAATTGGTCTGTAGTTGTTGATAATAGAGGCATCTAGGCTCCGCTTTTTTAGGAGAGGTTTAATAACTGCAGTTTTGAAAGCTTTTGGGAAATGGGCTGTCTGAATAGAGTTATTAACTATTTGCAATACGTCTGTTGCTCTGCAGTCAAAAACATTCTCAAAGAAGTTGGTAGGTAGAGCATCAAGACGGCAGGTGGATGGTTTTAAATTTGTCACCGTTTCCACTAGAGTTTGAGAGTCTATGGCATTAAAGCTTGTCATCATTGCTGTGTTACTTTTGCCTAAATAGGGTGGTGATCCAACATTTTTGGTTGAGATATTAATGGCGCGTCTGATGCCTTCAATTTTATCAGTATAAAAGAACGCAAACTCGTTGCATTTCTGTGTGGGGTTGGTCAGTCTGCCAACAGTTTCAAATAGGGTTTTTGCCTTATTAGTGTTGTTGTTGATGATGTTTGAGAAGAATGTTTCCCTAGCACTTTTAAAGTCTAAATTGTAGGCCCGGAGGCGCTCTTTATAGATGTCATGATGAATGTGAAGTTTTGTATTCCGCCAGATTCGTTCAGCCTTTCTGCACTCTCTTCTCTGGGCTGTTACAACAGCAGCTTTTCTCCAGGGTGCCTTTTGCTTACTAGAACTGGTTTTGACCGTAACAGGTGCAATGTCATCAATAACATTCAAAATTTGGGAATTAAAGTTGTTTACAAGATTATAAGCATGACATGGGATTAGAGGTGGTAACGAGGAGATGACATTTTTAAAGAGTACATTAGTTAGTTCATTGATGTACCGTTTTTTGACAGTATTTGATTTTTATTGTGTGTCAGGAATGAAAGAAATATTAAAGAAAACACAGAAGTGGTCAGACAATGAGGGATCAGTCACAAAAACATCCGAAACAATGAGACCTTTTGTGATAATCAGGTCCAGGGTGTGTCCCTTACAATGAGTAGCCTCTTTCACATGTTGAGACAGTTCAAATGTGTCTATAATAGTCAAAAGTTCTTTTGCACCCTTGTCATTGAAATCGTCAGTATGAAAATTAAAGTCACCAGTTATAACTAGACAGTCAAAGTCGGTAGAGATGCTAGACAATAATTCAGTAAAATCATCGAAACAATGTGCAGAATATTTAGGTGGCCTGTAAATAATTACCAGGAGAACTCTGGGAGAACCTTTCAATACAACACAAAGATATTAAAATGATGGAAAATCACTAAGTGACATCTATTTCCCCTGAAATATATTTCTAAATATAGCAGCAACCCCTCCACCTCTTTTTCCAGATCTACATACATCAATAAAGTTATAGTTGGGGGGTGCTGCCTCAATCAGAATGTTTGCACTGTTATTTTGTTCTAGCCATGTTTCAGTTAAAAACATAAAATCAAGTTTAGAAGTGGTAATAAAATCATTGACTAAAAACGATTTGTTATTAAGAGACCTAACATTAAGCAGAGCCATCCTGATGGTGTTATTCACAGGCTTCGGGGTTGACTTTGAGCTGGAGAGAATAGGAATGAGATTTGTTAGATTAGCAGTGTGTCTAAGTTTCGCAATGTTCACTCTCTTGTTGGTCACAACAGGAATGCAGAAGGTGCCATGTTTTGACGTAGGCGACCTTGGGTCCAGCTGATAATGCGGTCTACTGCTGAACCCTTTTCTATCTCAGTAATATTCAGGGCTGCTGTCAGGAGGAGGAGGGGGTGGGCCTAAGGGGGGGGAGTGAGCAGCGTCATAGCTGGGATGGATTTGTGGAGGTGGAGCACGTCTTCGTAGAGGTGGGGGGGCAGATCGGCGTAAGATGGCGTCACCGCTGAGATGAGCTGGTGCAGGTGGACGCTGGGGGGGAGGACGCTGAGGTCGATCTAAGGGAGTAAAAATAGGAGTAGGGCGGGGGGTAAGTGGGGGTAACTCTTGGAACTCCAAGGGGGAGGAGGGGGGAGAAAGGTTTACTGAAGGGAGGGAGAAAGAGGGAGACGTGGACCTGGATGGGGGCTTTGGGGGGGTGGGAGAGGGATCCTCACACGTAATGGAAGGAGGGTTAGAGGGCGATGGCAATGGCGGTCCTTCTTCGCCGTTTCTGATAAGCTGTGTTTTCTCTTCCTTCTTTGTGGGCTCCTCTTCTTGTCTCGTGTCCTTGGCTGTGGGGACAGATGGATGACGCATGATGTAAAACATGTTGGTAATGAAAAGCTTTGCTCCCATCTTATTTAGGCAAAGTCCATTTGTCTTAAAAAGATGCCTGCGGTCCCAGAAAAAGCTAAAATTGTTGATACAATGCATTGAACGAACTGCACATGCAGTTAAGAGCCATTTGTTGAGCCAAAACAGTCTGCTGAATCTCTCAGCTCCTCTCCCGGTCGGGGGCAGAGGACCACTGATAAACACCTCAGCATTCACAGAGCTGACTGTTTCTAGGAGATTATCCAAGTGCTCTTTCAACTTTTCTGATTGTTGTTTTTCAATGTCATTAGAGCCAATGTGCAGAATTAGGTTTTTCACAGTTGGGTGTTCAGCCACAATTTCCAAAATTCTTTCTTCCAAGTCAGACACCATATCCTCCGGGAAGCAGAGTACTTTGGTGTTGTTACTACTTATCTTTTACAGAAAAATCACTCACAATCAGATTTTCAGGCCCTGTCGTTAGCTTTCTCTGTGGCTTTAAGTTAGCAGGTCTTACCCTGCTGCGTGGTGGTGGAGGGTTATCCAGAAATTTAGAGGGGGATCCATGGTCCTGCAACAGTGGAGCAAACCTGTTTTGTAGATTTACACCTGTTTGCTGGGGAGGTTTCTTGGTAGTTCCTCTCTTCTAAGTTGTCCGCTGCTTTGTTCTACGAAGCACGGGGGTTGAGGAGGCGTTATGCCTGGATGGTAACGCAGGCCAGTCGGCCAGATCACAGCTATCGGGCCGCTGGGTCCTGCCAGTTATCCGTTCTCCCTTGTCTGGTCTTCTCTTTGGCTTTGCACCAAGTGTGGTCCAGGGAGGATTGTCGCTGGTAGATTTATTACCCTGTACAGAGTCCTCCAGGTTCTTCATAGTTCCATCATTGCTAGTTAGCTGGGTTCTAGCATGCTCTTGTCCACTGTTTTGAGTCATTGCTAGAGTGGTGTTGTTCCCACATGGTCCATTTACTTCTACATTTACCTCTAACCGATTAACTTTTGTTTCCAGCCGTAAAATCTTCTGTACGAGTTTGTGGTAATCTTCCGTAGAGAAGGGAGGCAGCTTCTGCTAATTACCTTTAGCACTGTAGCACAGGCTCAGGATTATCTTGTTTGGTAGGCCTCCTCGCGTAGCGTTGAGGAAGTCGTAAAAATATTGAAAAATGCCTGTTTTATCTAAAAGAAAATATAATCCCACTGGTTTTGTAAGTATCCAGGAGCTCCTGATCTTTGTTTCGTTAAGCGATTGCCGTTGCCAGAGGTGAAAGTGGACAAAATGAGCGGAGCTGCTCCTCGGTGCGACTGGTCTCGGTGCGAGAGAAGAGACTCATTATCATTTTGTTTAAATGAATAAAGAAATGTGTCAAGGTCAGTTGTGTATTGTGTCCCTCAGCTGAACATGAGTCATATGACAGTGAGGACTTTTCCTCTACAACCACCAGCCTCGACAAACTAAGACCAAAATACGAGCAGACCAACGGGTTACTTTTATAATCTGGGCCTAATAGGGGAATTACATATGAGACATGTTGTTGGATGAGGGAAGCTTTCCCCACTACACCAAGAAGAACATATTACTTTAACAGCAGAATTCTCCGATGTATCATCCAGCGACGACTCCGTACCGAAACCAAGCAGCAGATCTCACATCTCTGACGACACTGCAGCAAGTTTACATCATTCTGTACATTATTCATGCAATATATATAATAACAATACAAACTGGGTTTAATGAGGTCTGTTCTTGACTCTGGATGTGTAGCTTGCATGTCATGAAATGGAATTAAAGAAATATTACTCATAATGTATAGGATGGAAATTAGAGGCAAAGCTACACATTTCATCCGGGTTCCAGCTTACGTTGGTGAGGAGGGGAATGAACAGGTGGTTATTCTGGCCAAAAAAACACTTCCCATACAAGTGCCATTAAGTAAATTAAAAGTAAATTGAGAATAAGCAATTTTTCAGAAGATATACAAATACAGTTTGGCAGGAGTACTGGGATGATCAGGAAACTGGAATACAAAAACATGTCATGGCAAGGAGAAAGGTGTCATCATTCAACTGAGAATTGGACATAAAGTCTTAACCATACATAAAGCATCAAGTCCTGTTACACACTCCAGTCCAGATGGTGGCGGTGATGAGCTGCTCGCCGTCCTCCTTCAGCAGCTACAGCTCCACTTCGTGCTCCAGGTTCTCCAGGTTCTGAGCCTCTCGAACTCGCGGTAGATGGAGTTGCTCAGGCCCGACACCCGCTCAGTCATCATCGCCGATGTCCCCGGGTCGTCCTGGTACAGCTCCATGTTTAGTCCCTCTCCCTTCCGCGTCACGCCGCCACCGTGGACACGTTATCGGCTTGACTGCGAGCAGCGTCTCATCCGACACGCGTACCATTGGACATTGTGGACATTACGCGGCTGGGATGCAGGAGGGACGATACGTGGACGTCTCCCCCCTTTTCCCTTCACTTGCCTCTTGTTGCCTTCACTGGCTTTTTCATAGCTTTCCAGGTTCACTCGAACGCCAAAATCGCGGTTAGGCGACCGGAAAAGTTGGTTTGATTTTGTGGGAATAAAACTCATATTTTGTTGGACTATAGTGGATCCGTGTGGCACCATAATATGTGTTGGTAATATACCGATATGACAGCGAAAATAATGGAGAAAACGTAACCAGAAATTGTTTTCATCGGAGTTGCCTTGTAGTTCTAAGATTTCCAATTGTTCATGAAGATAGCACCTCAGCTGAGTTGTTCACCAGGTCATGTGTTGACGTCATATCACAAAGAAGATATGCCACGAAATAATTATCAGTTTTTCACATTTGGTCATAGATAAAAATAAAGATTAATTTCGTGAGTATCTTTTTAACAATCCGGACGCAAATGACAAACATTTAGATGGAATCTAAACACACCTTGTTTGTATATGTTTCTCAGCAGGCACCTCCAGTTGCACTCGCTCAGTTGGAATCAAGCTGAAATTATTTCTACGATAACTTTACTTACATTTTTATTTAAGCCACAATTGGTCAATTCATGCCCTGGTGCAGTTGTGGGGGTTTAAGTGGTTAAGAAGTGTTACTGCTTTACCACATACAATATTGTGTAATACTGCATTACATTACAAGACAATATAGTGAATGGTAAGTACTGTAAGGAATACAATAAAAGGAGACTAGATACAAATGACAGTATTTATGTTATTGATTGTGGGTTTACCTAAACAGCAGGACTATGTGTGAATATAAGGTCAAAACATTAAAATAAAACAATGAATAATCAGACAAGTTTTACAATCAAATTTAGCCCCATCTAGACTTATTTGTTTTGATTTTTTTCCAGATTTATGATTGTCTGGGGAGCTGGAACATGGACATTACCACCTAAATCAAGTATGACTATCAAAATAATAATACAAAAACTAAAGCGTGGTGAGGGTGATACAGCCTAACATACTTATTTTAATTGTTTATTAGAGGTAAGACCATTTAGAGCTTTAGAACTGAAAAAAGGCCCATTTAATATAATCATATAACTACATAGAGACTTTTTTTGAAGCTGAGATGGAGCAAGATTTGCCTCCGCAGTATTTTAGGCCTGCAGCTCGTTGACAAAGTCTTCTCCAAAGTCAATGATCCGTTTCATTGCGCTCAGGATCAGTGAATCGATCTCATCATTTGTTTCCATCTCTGTGTTGTAGTTCTTCACAGGAAAGATGTAGTTTGGTTGAAGGCCCAGGTCCGCACTGATATTGTCCACCTAATTTGGAAAAAATTCACAATCAAGAAATGCTGCTCACAAAGTTATTTGTTTGAATTTGAAAGTGTTTTCAATTTTAAAAACATTCTACCAACTCATGAAATAGAAACTTACCGTTTCCTTTATGTACTTGCTCTTACACACGTTCTTTACATCGGAGCGGACCTCTGGACAAGCTTCATCAATTTTGGTGAGAACAGCCACTTCAGGAATCCCTGCCAATACAAAGTGGAATACAACAGGTTTATGTTTGACAGGTTATTTGATTCAATCTATGAACCACACAATATAAACCTTACCCAAGTCTCTAGCTGCAAGTCTGACCTCCCTCATCTTTTTCTTAGATTCATTACTTAGTGCAGTTGCTGTGCTGGCATCGATGACACAAACCAGAACATGAACTTTGTCCTCCACGGTGGGGCTCTTGTTGTAGTTTGGATCATTCTTCTGATATTTCAGAGCACGGATTGAACTGTAAAAACAATGTGAATTTAAAAAGTAACTTGCGCAAATAGTATTTAAACATCTTTACATAAATACATTCTTGATACAAAACAGAAAGGGAAGCTGGATGGTTTTATTGAAATGCATCACCATACTCAATGATGTCAGTAATTAATTGGACTGTACGTTGTAAGCGTCTTTTATGTGTCCCTTCATGTCCAGTTTGATGTCTTCCACACAAATTCCTTGTTTTTCTGACCCCTCGATGCCCATGAGGTCAGTGAAGACAAAAGGGTAAAATGTCCCTTTTCCTCCTTTGTCAATTTTGAAGGTTCGGCGCTATAAAACAGAAAAAAGAAGATATGATGACATCATTGAAACCTTTTGATGAATGTCTATGAAAACTTTATCTCATGCTCATTAATATTATCATAAGCTGCTCAAAGTGCTGCTCGAATCATCTGTGTGCTGCAATTATCTTCACAAAATAACACAAAGTGAGTGAATCAACAAAAGGTGAAAGAATTTCACGATGTGTTACAGTGCACGACATACGACCTCAGTTAAAGCAGAAGGGATTCATACTTTCACGGTGAACGTTTTTGAGGAGTTTGTATCTGTCAAAGCTCGACCAGTGATTCTTCCTCGTAAAACACTGTCGACAGAGTTGATGAAGCTGGACTTTCCAGCACCAGTAGATCCATGAAGCAGAACTCTGAGCTGTTTGACGTATTTGTTATGAGGCTGATAATCCTTCACAAACTGCAAGTCCTCCTGTTTTTGGCTGTTCATTAAAGAAAAGGTAAGATTATCTGTCACATTCTTTCACTGCACTTATCAGTTTTATCTATGTTACAAATATTTTGTGGTAGCTGCACTGTTGCCAGAGGCACCATGAATTAAACATCACTCACCTCCATTGTATTTTCCTCCACTCTTTAATCAAAGCTGACAAGTAGAGGGCACACGATGTAATATAACCACAACACAAATGAATAATCAGTCGTTATACATTTGCATTTTCATACATCTTAGACAACGTTCAGGATTGTATTTACAACTTTCGATCTACTCTTTATGCTTTTTATGAGTAGACGACCAAAGTATTCTTCTGAGTAAACAATGTTCTGTAATGTTGTAAGTATCTCACTTTTAGGAGAAGGAGCAGGAGCAGGAGCAGGTGTTGACTCTCCTCCACCCATGGCTGAAAAAGGACAGTGAGACAACATTTAAACAAGAACCATTGTTACACATAATTTATTATAAAAAAGCATAAGTTGAGACATGTTGCAACTCATCACTTTTAAAACTGACTCAGGTGCTGGACAAGCAAATCCTGTAATGTATTCTTAATGAATATGTGTTGTTGTAATTCACTCTGTTTGATTGTGGTTTAATCTCTCAATTATATAGTTAATTTTTTATCTGATTTGTAATATTCAAAAAATTGTACCTGAACTGTTGTGCCTCTAAAAAGAAAAGGAGATGGTTCAATTAGAATTATTATAACTTTGACACACTTTTATATGTTGGCATAATAAAAAATGAAGCACTTTTGCAATGGATTGAACATTTAGGAGCTGAAATGATGACAAGTCAAGATTCACTGTTTGCTGTAAAAGGAGACCGTAACATGCAAATGACCAACTTTGGCGTACGCCTGCATGCAAAGTAAGTGACACGGGCGTGTGGCGGAGCCAAATGCAGCACAACGGCACGGAGTGTTTGGTTAACGCTTTATTTGAACACGGCCTCACAGCAGGCGTTCGGGCACAATGAGAGGCAGAGCAGAGTGCGGTCCTCAGGATCGGGGAGGAGATGCCGGGAGACAGCTGGTGCGATCGCTGGGCCGGTCGGGGATCCGGAGCACAAGGGCAGTAGCGCCGGGCAGTCCAAGGGGCAGGCAACAGAAACCCGAGGCGCTCAGGCAGGACTCGTGGTCGAGGACAGAAGGCTGACGTGCTCACCGGGGCGGAGACAGACGAACGGGTCGGGAACAGGCAGGGTCGAAACCGGGAGATCAGTCCGAGGTAGAGTGCTGGAGAAACTTGCATGACGCGAAGAACAAAATGACAGGCTGGGTGTGCAGTGCTTATGTAGCGGGGCTGATTGTGAATGCGAAGCAGGTGTGGAAGGCAGGAGAGTGACTGATTGTGGATGCGGGGCAGGTGTGGACGATCGAGCTGGCAGGTGAGTGTGACAGTAAGACTTTATGAACAACGAAGAACATTTCAGCAATCACCAGTTAACCAAATGATAACAGGAGACAATCAGTAAAACCATCAAGACAACAGTCACGAATTTGACAAAAATATAAAACAATTTCAAAGTGAAATCAACCCTCTTTAATATGTAAAGCATTGCTTTTATAAAATTCTAAAATTCAAAACAGATACACTTTATCAACCGTATGAATATATTGAGCTTAACACAATATCTTCATAAGGTTGATAAAACGTTCCTTGGGGCTGAAGGGAAAGACGTTTAATTTACTTCCATTTTTCAAGCACTAGATCTACAGGTTGTTTACATCTTTCAGTAGATTAATAATAACACCATGAGAATAACGATAATATGCTACAATGCCATAATATTAATCCCTTACCTTTGTATCTGTGGCTCTGCACAGTGCCGAAGTGGTGCAGTGCAGTAATGGTGCAGTAATGATGGAAAGAAGACCCTTATATACTGTAGGCTATGCTTTCACTTTCAGATTCAGTAAATCATGTGATTTAGGAGAAGTAAAGGATTAGAATAATGTCTCATGTAATCTTGATTTTCTGTAACATATGTACTGTATATGACAAAACTGATGGATCTGCTTGCTGGTTACTACGTTTAATTGAGCACAAGCTGTACTTTGACTAAAGTGAATTTACGTTCAGAAAATACTTTAGGGAAATGTTTGTTTGATAGTTCTGATCTTAATAATTCCGTAATAAATCTAATAAATTAGCTTGCACTTAAAACAGTTAGTGGTACTGATTAATTTAGTTAAAATTGCAAAAATGTGTCGCTGCACATTGCTCTCCGCTGAGCAAGGAAGCTTCATTTTTTGCTTGCAAAACAAAATGCTCAAAATTAATTGTAGATACAAGCTATAATAAGTAATACAAACTCAAAACAACATACCATTTAAAAAAATGTATTTAGGACAGATGAAGAGCCATCCCCAAAAGACAACTATGGAATATGTGTCAGTCAGTGTGTTTGTGTCATTAACCAGAACAATTCCACTAGACACAACAATATCAACAACAGGACATAAAATGTAGATATGGTGTTATGGAATATTTCAATAAAAGCTCGGTAGAAGAGAATAATTTGTCTGATAAAACAGAGTCCTGATGAATGATCAAAGTTGCAAAAAGTCCATTTATTGCTTGCAAGCAGGAGGTCAAATACACTAGCACGTATCACGGTGCTCTGTGGAAATGGCGTCTCCGAGCACTAAAGACGCTGAGTTTTTATACACATGTGAAGGACATTCTCCGTGCCAGTTACGAGAAGCTGCAAAGCAGGTTGAGATAAGAACCCAGGTGAAGCTGAGGGTAGCACACACACACACACACACACACACAGAAGATCCTCCTCAGTGGCCGGTGCAAATCGTAATTAAATTATAAAGAGACCAAACCTGTCAACAAAAATGGGCTGTACAGTCTGTCTGATTTGCTTCGTGCAGAACATGCACCGCTTTTCACCGGGTGCCTCTTGTAACAGACCAGACCAACAACTTTTGGTTT